TCTCCTTTTGCCTCCTCCTCAGACTCCTCCTGCTGTTCTTCCTCTGCTTCCTTCATTGCTTCTGCTCCTTCTGCCTCCTCCTGAGACTCCTCTTGCTCTTCTTCCTCTGTTTCCTTTGTTGCTTCTGCGCCCTCTGCCTCGTCCGGAGACTCCTCCTGCTCTCCTTCCCCTGCTTCCTTCTTTGCTTCTGTTCCTTCTGCCTCCTCCTCCTCCTCTTCCTCTACTTCCTGTTCTTCCTCTGAAGCCTTTGCTGCTTCCCCTTCCTCTGGATTGCTCTTGCTCTCTTCTGGCTCCTCTGCTCCTTCTTCCTCAAGCTCACTTTCATGTACCTCCGTCTCTTCCTCCTCTCTCTTTGCACCTGCGTCAAGCTCCTCAGTGTCTCTTTCTCCAGACTCTTCTCCTGCTTCCTTGTCCTTGTCTTCTTTCTTTTCTTCATGGCCCTGACCGATGTGTATTTTGAACACTTCATGGCAGGTGCATGATTGCCTGATTGACTACATCTAAATTGAGGGGATACCCATATAATTTGTTTATTCACGCAGCCTTTTTAGTTGATTGATCCAAATTCAGTATCCCATGGCCATATATAGATCTTTTGAACGTATTCTCAAAACCCTCGCCTCCTCACCAGGAATGCTTTTCTCGCTCGAGCAGCTGTCACGGCTTCCCTGCACAAGGAGACAGGGCCAGGATAGGGTCCCCTGAAAAGAAAACCCAGGCCTGTCTCCTAGGGCCAGAGAGCTCCCGAACAATCTGCTTCAATTCAGAGATCTCATCAGCGAAAGGACCTGGCCTGGACACAACAGTGCACTGATGATCTTAACCACTAAAGGTTTTCACGGTAGGATTTGCCCCAGCCTTGTTCCTTCAGAACGTCTCTCGCAGTTCAAAAAGTCAGCGCAGAGTGCTCTGAAATCTGAAGCTGCAAAGGCAGCCTGGGCCTCCAAAGGAAACTCAAGGGTGAGCTACACCACATGACAGAATTTGATAGGGAAGAAATCGGTTCCAGCCTTCCGGTCCTTTCTCAAGGGTCCCAGCAGGAAATCGAAGTCGTCATCCAGGTGAAGTATTGCAGCCTCACTATTGTTTGATGCATTTTGTAAATTCAATATTACTTGTAGGTCATGATATATAGATACTGACCATGGCCTCTCAGGATTGAAACTTCCAGTTTAGACATGGGACTGTCAGCTCCTTACCAGAAGGCATTTCGCGTCCAAATATCTGGAAGAATTTCTTCAGCCGATGAAAGTTGGCATGTACCTGTCAGTCCATGGCCGGAACACCAATAAGTTGAAGACCATGACCTGCTCAAACAACTGGCTAGTTTTTTAGTCGCCTGCTCCTCGATGGTTTCAGACGGGCTGTCTGCACGCAAAGAGAACTCTGGCATTTCCTGGCCCTGGCCAGAAATGATGGTGTAGGATGCTTTTCAGGGGGGAGTCCTTGGGGGTTCCTTTATAAGAGCATGCCGTCAAAGAGGGACAAAGCCATTACATAGATGGATATGTACATGTCATGTGACTGGCAGGCCTTAGTAGGCTTCCTCTCAAACTGTGCTTGCTTGTTCTTCAGCTCTCGGACCACCCCTGGCTCCAGGAGCTGGGACGTTTGCAGCCACTCCTGGCGCAATCTGTCTAGACCCTCAGGATCTAGAATTCAGAGTCACATGCACTCAAAACATATCACGTGGCTCTCAGATGTGTTACGTAGCCAGGTCCACAAGACTTTTCAGGCAGTATGACTTGCGGCATTGGCGTTCCATCCACTTAAATTTGATCTCTGGATCCATGGCCATGTGAGCCCACCCGCAAAAAAAGCTATGGTCCCCCAACTTGAGCTTCGTCATGCATAGAAGAGAATCTGGAAATTTGCTTCATTGACCATGATGCATTGCAAGTGCGTTCTAGTGATCAGACGATTGGGAACTCTCAGGCCGAGCACTTGCCACTGCAGCATGCTGGCCTCTGGCGAAAAAAGACTTGGAGCATCAGAAGGGGTGGTGGGACTAGCTGCAGTGCAGCACTAGGTGGCAGGCGTCTTCGCTTCCAGCGTGCCCGCTCCATCAACCATGATCAGCACAGGGACAGGATGGTGCTGGTTAGCGTCAAAAACATGTCTTATGATGGTCCATCACAGGTCTCATTTATGTTTGAAGTGGTTGGCAGTTGGCAATAATTGCCAACATTGGTGAGAAAACATGGGGTGTTCCTATCTGGATTTGCCTAAGTCATGATTGAGACCACATCAAACCTCTCCACCAAATGGCTGCGGACCCCTCGTCGGCGTATAACACAGTCGACGCTCATATGCAGCCTCGTCGGGCATATACAGCCTCGTCCCCCTCGACGGCGTTATGCTTAGACAATGGCACCCCAGGGAACCAATAACAGCAAACCCCACAGGCAACACGGCAACACGGGTCAAAGTTCTACCCTCTTGCCAAGATCCAAACATTCTGAATTATATATAGCTATCAATGTTCTGGTCTGATGTTCAAAACGATGCTCAAAAAGGATGACTCAGAACTTGAGTTCATGTAAAACCATGATTTTGAGATCTTAAGCAACTGGTCAACCCTCTCCACCTGCGAATACCATCCTTGTTTCCTTCCGAGGAGAGGCACCTTTTGAGCCGCCTCGCGTGCAGCTTTGACTTCGGGTGCCTTGCGAACACGTCGAGGTTTTCACGCCATCTCTATACAGTCAAACACGAAAAATGTTTTTGTTTCTTGTTTGCTGATCTGGACAGCTCCAAATGATACAACAGCACGAAACACCTTCAAGATCCACAAACAACCATCGTTTAAAGGAGCTGCGCCGACAGCTAGCACTTCTTGAAGGCCCTACCTAGTAGCCAGCACCTGCATAAAAGGTGCACTTCTACTGTTTGCCACGTGCGCCGTCCTGCCCAACTGCGGGACCTACCTGCGCTCGTCAATGCTTGGTTCGATGTGTCGATCTATCAGAATTTTATATTCCGATCAAGTTTGTATAAGTCATGTATTGGACTAATTTATATACCCTAGGCTTCCATTCCAACCACCATTGATTGAGTTGCCTTTGCCGACAAGCATTGTTCCCCACCTGCCAGGTGAGGGTTGTTAGATTTTATCAGAGCTCTTCTCTTCCTCCTCCTCCTCCGTGCCACCTCAACTGCCAGCTCCCAATCGCAGTGGGCACTGTCGGACCTTAACCGCCTGCCAGACCTCAACCGCCAGCTCCAGATCACACAGTGGGTGCAAGAGTGTACCACAAGAGTGTCCCACCACCAGAGTGTCGTACGTGAGTGTCCCACAAGAGTGTCCCACGAGAATGTTCGACAAGAGTGTCCCACGAGATTGTCCTACGCGCGCAAGAAAAAGAACCCGATTGATTTTCCCATGTCTGATGTCAATCCGCTCCTTTCAGTTGTATCTTGCATTCGGGTTAGCCTGGCAGTGGTTGCCTGGCTGCTTGTGAAAGAGCACCGGATGATTCAGTGCGGGTGAAAAGGTGGCTTGGCAAAAGTATTTTTGGATTATATACTTGGTGGATGGCTTTGGCTTTTGGAGCGTTTGTTTAACATATGGTATAACCTAGGTGTATTCAGGCTATAGACACTGATAGGACAGAGATACATCAACCCTACAATCCTTTAAGCCTTAAGCCAACCCTAAGCTCAGTTACAGTAATATTACAGCCCAACCCTAAACACAGCCGGCATCATGACAACTCCCATGTCTTAGACAACTTTGAGTAGCTGAGAGCGCCGACCATGCTGTTTTGACTTGAGCCGAAGTGGCTACGGAGCTTCTCTTTTAAGCCGAGATGGCTGCGGAGCTTCTCTCTGTCTATCTGTCTGTCTCTGTCTCTGTCTCTCTGGCTGGCTGGCTGTCTTCCATCCTTCTCTCTTTCTTTTCTTTGCTTCTCTTTTCTTCTCTTCTCTTCTTGTCTTTTATGTCTTATTAATCTCTGTTCCTGCCACCTTTGAGCACTACAGACCGATGAACGGATGGGAGTAAATTGAAATAGGAGTTCACTCCCATTGGAACTCGGTCTCTTACACAGATTCTAGGGACAGTGGTCATTGTTGGGGTCTCTGCCACCGGCGCTCCCTCCAATGCCACTGCCCCCCTTCCCTTTTTAACAAAAAAAACATGCGAAAGGCCCATGATGTTGATGTCAACCTCCCTTCTGACAGGCAGGTTGCACGATACATGAACCCCTATTCAATGGCCCTCTTTTCGATGGTCGAACGGAAGCCTAGGGCCTAGGGTCCATGTATTGCACAGTATATACATATACAACTATATGGTGCGCCACCCCCCGATGTCACATGAATGTATTTTGTTCCCTTTTCCAGTACACCCCAGGCCGCCTGACGGGCCCGACCCCCCCCCTCCGGGTGCATGAGACGAAGCTTCCTCCGGCACCGCAGGCACCGCAGGCACCGATGCCTGCGACCCAGACACGACCCAGACACGAACTGTTTGGGGCGTATTTGCATACATGTGGGGTGGATGACAATAGGGGAAAACTATCACTTGAATGGCAACGGCTGCAACCAACTTGTGAGTGACATGCGGGTGAAGGGGACGTTAAGTGTGGGATTGGTTCAAGACCAATCAAGGGACAACCAACATGGCTCCACTTTCGCGAGCCTTCAAAACCGAACGTATCTATATACCTTAAAGACAACTGAGGAAATAAGGCCCGTAAGGCAACTGAGAACACAACTCGTTCGCCTTAAAGGCAAGAAAAGACCTTCCTTGGGCCGTGTGTTTTTCTACGTACTATATAGATCGTAGTAGTAGGCAGTTTCATGGTTTGAGATTTCCTGGCAGAGTTGCAACTGATCCAAGATATACAAGTCTTGCGCCTCTGCGTCGGAAGTTGCTTGGGGTGCCTGCGCAGTGAGGGAACGAAGAATGTGCACAACATGCTTGGAAGGGAGCACTGGCACTGCCGGACAAGTTGTCTGAAGAGAATGATGTGCAGCATTGTGCAGTACTCTTTTTTGGCTTTGCATGGCTTCACCATCTAAAAGCACTCGTCTAACTCTTCTTCTAAGGGGGCAATGTTGGACTGAAGTACAGTACCTGCGTATTCCTGGTCAAGCACTCCATCAGCTGCAAGATCCGGGTCGAGCACACCAGCAGCTGCAAGATCGTCGTCCAGCACTCCATCAGCTGCAAGATCCGGGTCGAGCACACCAGCAGCTGCAAGATCGTCGTCCAGCACTCCATCAGCTGCAAGATCCGGGTCGAGCACACCAGCAGCTGCAAGATTGTCGTCCAGCACACCAGCAGCTGCAAGATCGTCGTCCAGCACACCAGCAGCTGCAAGATCCGGGTCAAGCACGCCAGCAGCTGCAAAATCGCTGTGCAGCACACCAGCTGCTGCCAGATCCTTCTGGTCCTTGGGCTTCTCCCTCTTGGCATCGTTGAAATTGAGACCATCAGAACTCTCAAGTCCTTGAGTGAAGCCGTTCTTGCCCCCGAGCTCCTTCTCTTCAGAGCCCACGGCGGGATGCACAACCGCAGCCAAATCTCGATCAAGGGTTTGTGAGCGACCCCTCATCTTCTGACGCTTCTCAAGGCTGCTAAGACCTGCAGAAGCATGCTGAGACCGTCAGACCTGTTCATTGAACCACTTGAAGCCACAATAAGATTCACACATATTTCACCCATATTTCACCATGATTCACTGATCTGGACAAAGCTATAGCATCGAGCCCTGTGAAAACTCCAAAACACCTCAAAAAACAAACAAGTTAAACAAGTAAATCTCTGATTGAACATCACTACTACCTTACCCCCCCCAAAGGGGTCAAAAAGGGGGGTAGTGATGATGTTCTGCCATCCAAATTCATGGCCCTGCCTGCGTACATGGACTCCAATGGGTCCACGGTAGGGGTGGCCACACTTCCTGGTGAGGTGGCAGTACTCATGGGACTTCCTAAGGGGAATTCCAAGCTGGACACAAAGGGCAAGGGCTCCGGCAGCACCGAAGGTGGTGTCTGCGCAGTGGCAGTGGGGCGGTCGACCACCTGGAAGAACTCAAAGTTCCTGGCACTGCCAGCTCCGCCACTAGAAGGTCCTGGGCTATTCTTGCCACTGCGATCACTGCGCACACTGCCCAGGCTGCCCAGGCTTGCCATGCTTCGACTCTTGGAATCCTTCAAGCTCTTCGTTGGACTTCTGGGTGTGCGGCCTTTAGGCGTGCGACTCGGGCTGGGGGTCCGCACACGTTTGGGCACAGGGACGCCGGACCTCTTGGCATAGCATCGGGCATCGATGCCATGGATGTCCTTCAACTCTGAGAGTGTCTGGCTCACCCTGGAAGACAGCCAGGCTAGAAGCTCATGGAGTCCTGCCATGCCCGCCATGTGCAAGGCTGATTGGCCACGCCGATTCAGGACATTCACATCCGAGTTCCTCTCAATGAGAAGCTTGCACATCTCCTTGCTGGGCGCAAAGAACAAAGCTGTTTGGCCATGTCGGTCGCAAGCGTCCACCTTCGCCCGGGCCAAGATCAGGACTTTGGCCAGCTCCAGATTCCCATCAAAGGATGCTAGGTGCAAGGCACTCACACCCTTGTCGTCTCGATCGGTGGGGTCGGCTTTCGCCTTCAACAAGATCTTCACTGCCTCAATCTTTTGCCCTCGCACCGCAGCACTGAGAGCAGAGCCACCTGGCATGCTAGGATCCTGATAGAAAGCATGTGCTGAAGGGTCACTGCGCAGGAGAGACTGCAATGAACGAAGAGCCACTTGGCTTCTGCTGGGGGATTGGTCCTCTAGAACGGCCTGGAAGGTGCTTTGAAAGTCACGCACCTCCATCTCCTCTGTCGCCCATTTGCCCGTGTCGGGCCCAGCTCGAACGTCTTCCACATGCAATGGCACCGATGGCAAGTCACTTTGGTTCTCGGGCGGTGGAGCTGGCCCAGCTGGCCCAGCTGCTCCTCGTGGACCTCGTAACCTGGAGGTGTTCGGCGGAGCTTGAGGGGACTTTTCGGTTTCAGAGGACTTCTTCGAAGTCGTTTCTTCCTTCGAGCTGGGCCTCCTGTGACTCGCCCCACGTACTTGGCGCAGTTCCTCTTCAAGGTCTGCGGAGGGCAAAACGCCTGATTTGTCCAAACAACGTCTCAATGCGCTTGCCTCATCTTTTAAGATCTCATGCTCTGCCCTCAACGCTTGCAGCTGCTCTTCGAGCACATGGAAGAAGTTCGCCCACAAATGGGCGGAATCCACCCGCGCCATGGCAGTCCGTAAGCTTCTCCGTCCTACGAATGCGTGCTGGTCTGTGCTGGACTGGGGCCAGAGCTGACATAGCCAGTCTGTCAACATGGAGCAGAACAAAAGCTGACCACGTAACACCCGCATCTGCGCAACATCCAATAGTATTCTCACACGAACACCCGCATCTTCCACAAAAGAAAACATCCCAAAACGGCCTGCTGTAGTTCCAATGGCCTATAAAATCTGACCTCCAAAGTCGCTCGAACATCTCATCTGTTTCGGCCTTAAAGGCAGCTGCAGAGACGCACTGCAGGAAGTAGTTGGTGCGTTCCGGCTGAACGCCGCACACCACATCCACCACCGAGACCTGAAAGATCGCACAGAATCGACCCAGAGAGACCGGGAAGGTTCCGGGGTTCGGAGCCTTCAGGAGTTGGGGCAGGGGCCTCTCCAAGAAACACGACTCAGTGGCCGCGGCTTTCTCACGGATGTGAAAAGCCATCGACATTCCCCGGAAGGCTGTCCAATCCACTCGGCCGGAAGGTTTGCTTTCTTAGAGTACCTGTTTGTTGTTCGGCTCATGTCCCAGTTTCCTATAGATCTTCCAACTGCGCCAAAATGGTTGCTTTTGTGGGCGGTTCTTGATGGATGAGAAGGCAGAACATGCAACAGCAGTTGGAAGAGGTCTCTGGATCGGAGCGCGGGTGCGGTGCCGCCTCGGATCAAATGAGCTCCTCAACACCTCAACACCCCACCCCTCTTCGCTCCTGGTGCTCCTGGTCGTGTTCGTCTCAAAACACCCCACGATCTGAAGCACCGGGGGCAGGTCCCACGTCTGGAACCGATCCGGCGTCCTGCCGGTCCGGCCTCCGCCAAAGCTTCGGCGTGCTCCGGTAAAGCAGAGGCAGTCACAGAAATCCATCCTGAGAGATCCGCTCTTCTCCATCCCGAGATCGGGAAGAAAAGAAGAACATGTCCACGGTCTGGTCTCAAAAAAAGGGTCACGTACTCGCTCGACTCCCGGACTGGATTGTTTCAGGCTGCTCATGTCTTCCTGTTGAGAACTGGGCCGGTGAAAATACGATAAAGCATGAGATTAAATGAGAACATCCAAAAGGAAACGAGCCTGCCGCACAGAATGACCCTCAAAATCACTAGATGGATGACATGAGTCCCCTTCAGACATTGTGTAATGTATACAGCAGTTGAACATTTCAATGCTTGTCCATCTCTCTTTGTTCCAACTGAGCGTGCGGGCGCTGAAGAAAATCCACCTGTCAAAACCATCGTCAGGACCGCGGGTCCATTTCTTCGATTCACATGCTAAAACTCTCTCATCAAAAACCAAACACTTGTCGACTTGTCTTCCTAAGTCTTCCACTTCAAAAAACTTAGCATGTCCTACCCCCCCCTTTCCTATCCTCTTACCATCTCAACAAAAAGCCTCTTTCACCCCCCCCCCCCACCGGGGCCGCTCTCGCAGAGCCCTCGCTCGCATGCGAGCTCCGGTGGAGCCGCGCACGCCCCTTCACCGGGGGGCGCCTTCTCCTCTCGTGCGCTGGGTGCTGTTGGCTTCGGCTCGAGAGCGCCAAAGAGCTCGGCTACGCCGAAGCCCGTCTGGCGACCGACCTGGCGCTCAGTCTGACTGAACCGGGATGGAGGGAGGCCCAATGGGGGACACATGAAATGGTTTTAAAGAGAAACAGAGAGAAACCAAACATCCAGTATCAACAAAAAATATAACTTATATCATATCAGTTCTATCATTTGTTGTCTTATATTAAAATACATAATATATCACAGGCCTGCCGAGGTCATCTGAGGTCAGCCCCCCAGCCGTTGGACGGGAGCGGGCGTTGGCCGGGGGGCCGGCGTGGAACACGCTTTTTTGGGGGGGTGGTCCACTTGACCTTGAAGTGGGGAGGGGGGGTTGATTAATCCGGTGTGGACATTAACATACAATAGTCACTTGGAAGTCCAAAAGCCCAAGAAATCTCAAGGAATGGTCTGACGAAAGATGAAAAAAGACCTTCCTGAACACTTGGGTGAGGCGAAATAGAGTCAACCTTCCAAGTATCCTGGCTGGAGATTCATGTCCGTAGTGTGAGCCAGGTGACGGACACTGTGCCTACATTGGCCCCTGAATCCACACCAATGTATGCAAATAATGTGCCAGTCCCACCCTGGGTACTAGGTTCTTGTTGCAACAAGACATTATTGAGCAAATGATGATGATGATGATGATGATGATGATGATGATGATGATGATGGATGTTATTTACAAATCCAATTGGAAGGAAGTTGGGGAGTGCCATCTGACCATGGCCAGCTAAGCAGCTAAGTCTTATACCATTACTAAGCGTAGGTCAGAAGAAGTGACTTGCAAAAGACTCAAACATGGACACCTACCTATTCGTGCTTCTATTCCCTGCCTCAACAGCTATGTCGAAGAGGAAGCGGAAGGGTGGTCTCCTGCAGCTTCGCAAGCGGCAATTGTGAAGGATGAAAACACTTGCAACAATTGGAGATCAAGACAACTGATAATAAACAAATCCGAACTGCTGGTATTTACCACACTCTGGGAGGTGGGAAGAATCTGTTTCTTTAAAAGTTCTTAAATAAACAACTCAAAATGCGTGTTTATTGCCGATGCCACATGCCTCTCGCAAGCCGGACCGAGAGATCGTGTCCGATCGACTGTTTCGTGGAACCGTTACCTGGATCTTTCCCAGTGAGCGGTCACTTGATCCCCTGGTTGGTTCGGTCACAAGGCTTGTAGGTCAAACAGGGACGAACACAAGTTCGGTCACTGGGAAGGTCCTTCTCTCTCAACTCTCAACTGACTGATGCATTCCCAGACCAGACCTTAGGCCCCTTCCCTCGATGCCCCTCCGCATGGGCTCCAATTGACCCATTGGTTTGACCCCAAAACCGGCATGGCGACTGGACCATGCGGCACCACGTCGAGCAAACCGCGGCCCCACCACACGGCCCCACTTCACCGAAACGAGTCGACGCAGCGGCCTGAGACGCTCCGTCAAGAGAAGCGGCTTCTGGACCCACACTCCGAGTGTTGCCTCGCCAAATCCATGCCCAACACACTCTAAAACAGAGTGGTCATGCCCAAAACAAATACGAGTTCAAAACATTAGCTACATGAATTTTCAATAGGTGAGGTTCCAAATCTTGACCAAAAGAAATGACATGAAATAACTATAAATCACTACAAAAACATCAAAAACACTTCACTTCCACCTCGCTGCTTGTCAAAAGCTTGTCCCCTCAATGTGTCGCAGATCGGCCTGGGTCTGAGCGATCCAAGGTTCCACATCCTGAGGTCATCGGGTGATCCGACGGACAGTCAATCGGGTCATCCGCTTCAGGTCTGCAGCGCGGATGGAGCTGCGGCACCAAAAACGCCAAGCGGCGGTAGGAACCGGTTTCTCGGCGGCGGTTTTCGGCTCCAGTTTTGTACTTGACCTGGTTGAAGAGGGGCGGGCCGCCCTTCCTGTCCCTAGAGCATTCCAGTCCAGACCCATTCCAGGCTCACCACTGCGCTACTCCGATCCGCTACCAAGAATCCATCTGTTTCACGTTGTTTCCAAAATAGACCAGGTGAATAGGCTACTGGACCATTGGCGGGGTCCCCTTTTGGCCTCGCCTCCTTCGCCTGGTTCGCTTCGCTCATTCGCAAAGCGTCGAAAAGGCGAGGTAAGATGCATAAAACATGGGGTGTATAGAACTTCATGGAGTGCTGGCTAATATTTGGATTGACCAATTATTTGGCCATGTCAGGATTGACCGTGGACGCGAACCAAAAAGAACTGCTCCATTTGCTAGGGATCCTTGTCAAGATTCCTCAACAGGCATGTTGCTGCGGGCCAGTGGCATCGGAGATAAAAAAACATCAACTTGCAAAAAGAGCGATCGCAGCTTTTGGAAGAACAAGGGTGACACCTTGGACCTTCGACCAAGTTCTGTTCCTGCACATCAAACAACATACCCTATACTATCGTAAACTCTAATTTGCATTGCACCTGAGGCACTGCAATATTGCAGGAGCAAGGACAACATCAACAAAAATCAAACACCAGCGGACCAGGCAGTTCTCTTTTCCTCGCAACGCATTTCTGCAGTGCCCCAATTTTGGGCAACCGCACTTTCAGCGCGAAGAGGGATCCTCTCTATTTTTGAAGTGGGTCAGGTAAGGCAGAAGAGACATCTCCACAGGCAGTGAAGGACGTATAATTAGAGCTTTAAGGAACAGCATGCATCATGCATCCAATTTCCTCCCGCTTAGGCACAGACTCAGGCACAGCATCAGCTTCCAGATTCGACGTCTTTCAGATGCTCTTCCAGCACGAAACCCGACGTATCAACAAACACACACACGCATGATCGAGCGTGCAGCCGCATGCGTGTATGTGCAGCAAATGCTGCAACACTCTGCTTGGCAGTCAATCACTCTATAATACTCTCTATAGTTACTATACGCTTCAAGCATTCACAACTGCAACTGGCGACGCAGCCAAGCTGGGTATTCAGCATGAATTGAGGAATTGATGAATGATGTCCATCTCTGCTGATGCTAATGTCCACTGCCTGCTATGTTTCTCACTGGAATAGTGGACCAACAACTCTGCTACGCTCTGCTATGCTCTGCTAGGATGCCCGCTCTTTTCGATTCAGCCGAGGGCTTTCATTGCGACTACCTGGCTGTGGAGATGATGAAGCAAACAGTGAAGCAAACCCAAGCTGAACGACTCTGGTTTGTCTTTGGTGCTCGTCGCTTGAACCCAAGTTCATCCAAAGTTCCCCCCCCTCTTGTTTGTTGCAAGTCCCGTCCACTGGGTGCAGCATGCCTGGTTCAGTGTGTGGCCTAGATCCTCTGGATTCTCTTGATCTCCTGGGCCTCGTGAGGCGTCGCAGGCCGTCGCAGGGCGTCCGGACGGTTAGGTTGACGCTGTGACAGAAGGGAGAGCTGTGCCAGGCAGAACTGTTGATCAGAACTGTTGGCAGAACATGAAGGATGAACATGTCTTCCAACTGGTAAATCCTTCTGACATCCCCTACCGGAAACACAGGCTCAAGGCTTACCAGGCAGCTACGTACCCACAGGTTCACTGCACCTGAACAGCTTGGGTGCCAAAAAACAATCGTAAACAAAAATATCTACCGCAGCTAATAGCTATGCTATGATGCTCAGGTCGGAATTGTTCGGACACCTTTTTGGATGGACACATCAGCTCGGTGCCCAAATCTTGCAAACACGGTCGTAAGGCAAACCAGCGATCCTGCCCTTCTCGGTCTGGACCGTGCAGCTGTAGGATTGCGTCTCTACGGATTGCAAGGTCCCCTCCATCGGGCCCGAGCCGTCCAGCACCAGGACTCGGCTTCCGAGCTTCGGCAACACGGTCTCCAGAAGCTCATTCTTCACAAAGACTTGGAGCTCTTGGCCGTTTTCACCAAGCTTCAGAAGTCGTAGATGGACGCCCAAATCTTCGGAGTCCAAGGTCACAGCCTTCTGTCCCAATGCTTGACCTTCCAGTGCATCAGGGCATAGCACCTTCACCACTAGACCCTTCGGCCACACTGCGCCTTCGACCACGATCTTCCTCCGTTCCGAGTCCTTCGTTTCGGCAGACGTCGGCCGTTTCTTGGGACCAGCACACAGCTGGAATGCCACTTTCACACGATTCGTCATGTCTGTGGGCTCCTCGGCGGCCTCAGTCTCGGCGGCTCCCCCGGCCGGTCCGGCCTCACAGGCCGCCGCGGCGGCCGCCGCCGCGGCCGCGGCCCGCTTGGCGCCGCCGTCGTCTTTGCGACGCTTGGGGACGGGTTGAGTCAGGGTGGAAGCCCAGGATTCTTGCATCCTTTTGGACCTGGAATCCGGCACTGCAGGAGTTTCGGCATCACCTTGAGCCAGATAACAGGAGGCCTCAAGATCATCCTCTTCATCCTCGGTGTCCACCCTCTTCTTTTCTTTGCTTTTCGTCTTCGCACCGAGGCGAGCCTCAGTCGCTTCCCGTGCTTCCCGTGCTTCTCGCTCCGCTTCCGCGGCCAGCAGCATGTCTTGGTCGATGCGCACGGTCCATCCCTTAGGTCCCTTGTAGGCTTCGCACTCGCCTGCTTTACCTCACGAAGGGGGGCAAGGTCCGGTGGCCAAGCTGAACAAAACACCCAAGCTGAGAGAAAGAGCATGTTGGACAAGCTGGGCAAGGATCGGCAAGGTAGTTTATGGTAGTTCGAAAGCAAAGGTCCCACATGTTTGTTTATGTTGTTTCAATGTTCCATGCTGTTAACCATTCCCCCACTCATGCTTGAGTCCGTCGATCCGTCGATCCAGCCGTGGATCAAAAAGACTCCAGCAGTGACGAGAAAAGCGACCTTCCATATATAAGTCATTACAGCAAAATGTACCACTCTCTGATGGGTTTTCACTCCACTTAGTCATGTGTTCAGACAGTGGTACATCTGAAAGTACTTCCCCTGGAACGAAAACCAGGTGACCTGGATCATGTTAGACCCCGAGTTGGAAAGACCCGGAACTCCGAATACAGGGGGGGTTTCACTCCACTTTCCCTTTGAGTTCCTGTGAGTTCGTGCAACTCTCTGAATGAACACATCACATGTCATGCGGAGTTCCCCCATCTTTTCACCCACGTAAATAGAGCGAAATGCTCTCTCCCCCGGGTCCATGATGGTCCATGTGTTCCTCAAAGTGTACACGTTTTACGTATAAATTCGTAGTTTAGCTACCATGAAGAAGCGTGAAGATCGTGACTATTTGTGACTACATCCCTTCAGCCCGCAGCGTGAAGTGTTTGGGAACTGATGTAGTTGAATCATGGACTCAATACCCTGCGTTGGAGGATTTCTCACACCTTCAACTTTCAACACTGAAGGTAGAAACAAACTCAACGTGGTTGCATCTACTTCGAACATGGGTGCAAGAACGATAGTAATTGATCATGGTAGGTGACACAATGTGTTTCACATCGCCTGTCACAAAGTCTAAAAAGCCAATGCCATTGTCTTTCAACCAAGGATTTGTTAAACTTGGATGCAACTCTGTTGGCTCATTCTAACATGCGGTGATATCTGCCCCTTTTTTTATGATTTGATGATTAATAATTAAAGACCATCTCAGGGCCATCCATCCGGAATTTGTATTACCAGGAGTCACAAGATGTTCTGGGCACCCCAAATTAACCTCCGTTCGTTCGGCACCCCTTTGAAACTCCTGGTATATTATAATATACCTACATTGACCAACCCCTCAAACACCATAGGTAGACATCTTATGCCGCAGCATGGACGTTCTGGGGGGTCATTATTAGTCATGCTTCCAGCGCAGCGACCCGCAGCCCGCGACGCCGATGCCGAGAGAGCGACTGAGCGCATTGATGAAGGTGCCCAAACTGCCCCAGCTGGTGTCATGCATCAGCCGTTGGAACTTGTCATCCGGATACATCTCTCGATAGATCTCATGCAGCAACACGGTGCGATTCAAATAATTCTGTGCCAAGTACTGAACGAAGCTGGCCGCAAAGGCCTCGTCCCGCGCACTCATCTTGAACTCTGGCGCTGCACTTTGTCGTGCGATCTCGGACTTTCGGATGTGATTTTCGTGCTCCAGGTGACATTTGAAGCCGTTCTCGTCCTTGCACCAGACGTTGCACAAGCCACAGACCCAGCGCAGCTTCGTCTGCCGTCGCAGGAACTTGTTGTAGACCCATCGGGTGCTGCCTGGCTCGGCGCGGACCTTGCCGGATTCCGACTTAAAGTAGCCGTTCATGGCAGCTTCAGCTTCGCGTGGGCGTGGCACCACAGGTGCGTATTCACGGGGGCCCGGGCGGTTGACATGACGATGAAAATTACTACCCCCTAGAAGTCCAGTTCGACTATATCTTGACGTAAGTAAGGGAAATGCCTTTTCGGGTCACCCAAAGACCATTCTAGGGTACCGATTCAACCTGATGTTTCGCGGTGCTTTGCTGAGTTCTCCTGAAGGATGGCTCTGAAGGATGTCCTTTGTACGACATCTCCACAAGATCCCCGCGTTGCCATGCGTCGATATGCGAAGAAAGATGCGTGGCGATCAGATCATGGCCACACTTCCTTGAGAGTGAAAATCACTGCCGGCCGTGACGTTCCCGCAGCTCCATGTGGTGGTTGATCTAAATTCCTTTCATCTGGAAAGTGCCTCTTCGTGAAAAAACAGATTACTTTCGCGAACCCCATGTTTAACTTTCGCGAACTTTCGCGAAGTATGATCTTACATATTCAGAAGAAGTTCGGGTACATGGGTATATATAGTTTAAAGGAAAACTATATATATAGGTATGCGGGTATGCATGATGTAGGTATATTGTTATCAACATCACAAGGTATCACAAAATTGGTCTTTGGCTTTGAAACAAAGCGAATCCCGATCCCATCCTATTCACCAAGTCTGTACCCAAAAAATTCATAGTTTTGTCGCGACATGCATTCCTTATCCGTGTTCGGGCAGCATTTGTCAACCCGCCCTCAACTTTGCAGCCCCTAACTGACTTCTCACCTGGAGCCCCATTGCGTATCCATTCCCGAAAAGTTCCGACTATAACCTGTCTTTCTGTCTGACTTGAACCTAAAGAGACATGAGGCAACCCCTTCTCAGGACAACCCGTCTTTCGCGAAGACTTTCGCGAGCTTTCGCGAAACTTTCGCGAAAAACCGGACATGTTTTGGACAAATTCGAAGGGTAAAAGACCACAAAGGTGGTAGAGGTGCCATTGGCGTACCGAGTTTCCTCTGAGACGAAACCCGTCATTTGAGCAGCAAAAACTCGTGAAGACAAGGCTTGGTGACAATTGCACAAGGCACAAAGACTCTGATTTCCTTCTGAGCTGCTGGTCTGAAAAGATCACAGTAAGCAAACAAATAAGGGTCCCTTTACCTACAAATAACATACATGGTTACATGAACTTTCGCGGAAAAAACAAATACTTTCGCGAACCCTGTGTTTAACTTTCGCGATCTTTCGCCCGGTTGGTACTTAGTAACCGAAATGGCTGTTCCATATGAAACTCCTTTCATGGACCTTTAGATCGATGCCCATGTGTTCCCGCACTCTCCAAACAGCTTGGGCCTGGCATGACCTGGCATGTTTGAGGACCCCACTGAGTCTGAGAGCTTTTACTCCAGCTGCTCCAGCGAGTCTCGACTAGTCTCGACGTTGATCGACTGGTGCCGACGTCATTTGGACTGGGAAAGAAAAAAAACGCCAACCAAATGACATGCTGCACCTGACTCCACCTGACTCCACACGCGCCACGCGCCACTTCCGCGACGCCGTTTCACCCGCACTCTTAAGCCTTAGCCTTAGCCTTAATTAAGCGCCTTAGCCTTAGCCTTAGACTTAAGCCTTAGCCTTATCCTTAGCCTTAGACCTAGTCCTTAGCCTTAGACCTAGACCTTACCTCCCCTACCCCTCCGCACCCTTGTTGCAGTGGCGAAATCCCGACCTAAAAGCGACCTGATAGCTACGGGATTTGACGGGATTGCGACCTGAAAGCGACCTGATGGTGACCTGGATTGTCCAAGATTCTGCCATCCCAATTGATTTACATCTTGGGGCACCCTCTCCACCCGCGCGGCAAAATAAGCACGGTCCAAAATGGTCCCGGGCTCGAATCCCGGGCTGGTCGCGGCGTGGTCCCGGCCAATGCCCTTGCTTTTTCGTAGATTTTGTCACGTTTTCTGTTGGACTTGAGCGGGGAAACACGAAAGGTAGAGACGGACCGAGTAGCTGTCGGGACCTTTTCTGGTGAGGGACTGTCTCCGGTGTTTCAGGAACGTGCCCCTTGGTCAATCATGGATGAAACCAACAAAGCCAGAGAGCGCAAGAAGGCATAAGAAGGCTCAAGAGGAACTCCGTTGCGGTCAGATTGCGCCACACGGCTCTGCAGAGAGGCTGCGTTGCGTCGACGCTCGTTTGTGTCTAGGTGTGTGAAAACAGGCGCGCGTAAAAGTCGCAATGCGTAAACGCTCGCATGTGTACCAGCTATGGTCCCACAGCTGCACGCACTGTGTCAGGATTACAGGCCTGCACGCGTTGCGTCGAAGCCGCAGTGACTCAGTGACCAACCCCCTTGTAAGGGTAGTGCTGGAGGGGTGCGGCCGGTACTGCCAGGGATGGACGTCACGCTATGGTGGGTGTGCTCCACGATGCGGTAAGATTTCGCCACGCTAGGGTATAAGGCTGAGTCGAATGGTGTTCCGCGACGCGAGGGGTTTCTCCACAGGGCTTTGCAGAGAGGCTGTGTTGCATCGATGCTCGTTGGTGTCGAGCAATATGGTCTGTGAACGCAGTACGCGCTGTGTCAGGCTGCCGGGTGCGCACGCGCGGCATCGAAGCTGCATTGCGCGACCTCATTGCGCAGGGTTCGTGCTGTATTGCGCAACCTCATGGCCAGCGTCGTACTGCTGTGACTGTTAAGCGCATGACTTCACGTGCCGTGGTCCCCGGAGCGGTCCGTGTCCACGTCGGTCGACCCGCCGAAGGGGGCTCCGAAGCGCCGTACACTGAGACCCCACACGTCCTGGCCGTCCGAGGCGGCCTCGGTGGCGACCTCGGGGGGCGCAGTGGATTCGTGGGGGGGATCCAGTCCCAAAAGTCCGGAGGGTGGAAGCAAAAGGAATGGTAAGAGTGAACCCAAGTCAGACAATGTTGAGGAAGATGGACGATGATGGACTTCTTATTGATTGCAAGGTATACAAGTATCTGATCATTTGAGTGTTCAAGAGCCCATGGTATCCCATGTGCATCAAAACACCAGCGACAGGCCCGAGCGAACAAGGAGTGCTGTTTTCAAGCTCTCTCTTGGACTGAAGCTTCTGAAGCCGCACTCGTCTCTTTTTTCGCTCTTCCAGCTGTTTTCATCGTCTTTTTCAGGAAATGTTTGGCGGCAGAGATGAAATCAGGTGAGATGGGCCACCTTCCTGGAGTTGGATCGAAGATGGAATGAACATGAATCTGACCCATTTCTTGATCCAGAACTTTCATGAACTTTTCTACAAGGATTCAATCAGTTCTCTGGACTCTGGACATCAAGAAATCGTCCAAGGATGATTCGCACATCTTGTGCACTGGCTGATCAGTTCGCTTGAAGAAGATCTTCTTCGGCCTGGCAACTTGATGCGTTTGAAGTTGGAGAAAAGCTAATCCATAAATATACAGATCTTCGATCATCTTCGATCCACCCACCCATCTAATTCTAACCCATACTACATATCCTGGATCTTCAAATGGCCTAAATCTCTTCCCGAATACTCCGGGATGAACAACAAGCCGTAAAGCACATGCAACTGATGATCTGGTGCTACCCATCATCAACACAACGATCCCACCCATCCCCTATCCCATCCACGTCCGATGACAGGAGTCCTCAGCGCTTGGCCGCCAGCATCTTCCGGAAGAGGCCATTCGTCTCGGCCAGCTCCTTGGGCGCGCCCTGCTCGGCCACGGAGCCTTTCTCCAAGACAACCACTTGATCGAAGTCCATGATCGTTTCCAACCTCGAGGAACAGAGGTTGAACAGCCTGATAGCCTATAGCCCATCCCATAGGTACCACTATGGGGTCCTTTTTCAGGTCTCTGAACCTGTCTTGGGAACACAAAGCAAAAGAACATGGATCAAGAATCAAGATAGTCAAATCGAACAAGTAAGCTGGCTCATGCTGATGAGCTTGCACCTCCTTCCCCGTTTTAACTTCTGGTTCAGGGAGGTGGCACGCGTGTTTTTTCAGGGAAAACTCCTGCAACTCTGACCAAAAACCGTCTCCTTTGCTTCACAAAAAGTACACGACCTACCATAAGACCCCGCTCCAGTTCTGCGTCTTCCTGAGCGCTGTTGGCGGCGTTTCGCCCACGCCCGCCCGCCCCTCTTCCTCTCCACCTCTCGGGCCAAGGAGCCGATGCGCCACCGCGACTAAGGTCGAACCTCGTTTCGACGCGTTCGGCTCTGCTGGGTGCGTCGAACGATGCGTCGAACGATGCGTCGAACGCGGGCCGTGCGGGCCGTGCGGGCCGTGCTGTTGCGACGTGTCCGACTCGTACTGGGCTTGATGCTTCAAGTATAGCAACCATTAGCAACCCATGGTGCAGTGGAGACTGACGTGGAGCCTGCCAAGATAAAATAGGTGTTAAAGGTTGACAGAATAGGAAGTCTGCTTAGTAGCCTGTTGGTGCAGAGCCGCTCTGAAAAAGCTGGCCGTGGATCTGATGTCTCAAGTAACAAGTTGTGAGAGTCGCCAGACTGGGGATATGAGGAATGGTCAAAAACCTTTCACGTCCCTCAGCAAGTAGTGGGATTTGGAGGAACATCCATCCACCCAAAAGCCACAAATTCATGTCGTCTTCTGAACCTTCATCGCCCTGAAAACCCAACCCTGGACGTGTAGAAGCAAAAGCTCATTGGACCATTGACCTCGGATGCCCCGCAATGTACAGGAAGGTCAAGCTAAATGGTGTTGAGGCTGGCTTTGACCCAATCCCCATATACTCAGGACTGACAGAAGTCCTCTGCACCTTCTGAACCCGAACCTCTCCGCCTACGCCAGCCGCTTCGCTGCGCGACGCGCGACATACAGCGACCGTGTCCACTCGCGTTTCAACGCGACGCGTGCGACCAGGAACCGGGAAAGGCGGAGTTGATGGTGTGCTGCACCTGTGTTTGCGGTGTGTTTCACAGGAAAAAGAGGGCCCAGCTTGATGGTGCCCTCAATGGCACAGGATGACACGTTCCAACTCATTCAGACGGAATTCACATCAGGTTCCTCACTTTCCCCCACAAAACCAGTTCTCAACCACCAGGACTGCGAGCCACTCGGTTTTGCCAACACCCCTAACCCCCGCCCCCCCACCTGACCCCGCCCTCACTCCGAAATCGTAGCATGCTCTCTTTATCCCCAATCTACCCCATCCCCACCCCCAAACGATCCAAAGACCACCCGGCCCGCCCCTCCACCCCCCATGCCCGGCCTCCATGCCCTTTCCCAGGACCCCACCCTCCCTCGCCGCTCGAGGCCTTCTCCTGGGTGCTGGGGTCGATGGCCGACGTCGCCTCGTCCAGGAGCAGCACCGCCGGCTGCCGCAGCACCATGCGCGCCAGGCAGACCAGCTGCCGCTCGCCAAAGCTTAAGTTACTTCCTGCCCGCTAGTGAGTGTGTCATCTTTGGGTGGAGGGTGTGGCTGAGGGCAAAGCGAGTGGGATAAAGTCTAAATCAACTAGAGGTTCTTGTAGAAAGGACCCCCAAGGGGTGGTTAAAGGACACCCCTTAACAGCTAAGGGGGTATAAATCGACACCCCGACAGGAGGGTCCTGGTAGAAAGGAACCCCTTGTTTTGCGGATTTGGGGAGAGCTGCATCAAGCTCTTGGGACACGCCTTGCGCAAAGTGTGGAGAGCGTCTCCAACTGGGACATGACATGTCTCACAAAGGTCAAAACTCAAGAGCTGTAGAGAACAATCTGGAGAATACTACCGTGATCATGCAGTATACTCATATATAACATACCAGCACCCGACTTCACAGGTACCTGCAACTTTCAAGCCTGCAACTTGAGCCACCATTTCGGAGACCTGTTGGTGTTGGAGGCGGTTGGAGTTAAACTATAATGTATAATACTAATATAGGCATCACTAATGATGGCATTATATATATAGAGGCTGTGATGTGGAGGCGCTTGAAGAGATGCATCTTTCCCCCGCCTTCATCCGTAATGGGATGTTCCAACTTCTTGGGGAAGGCCGCCACCATCTCAGCCAGGCCGGCCACTCGCAAGGCCTGGCTGAAGGAAAGAAGGGGCACTGGAATCTGCTTCGGATAGAACCAGGATCATGACTGTCAAGTATCTACAGGTGGAAGATTAATGAAATATCATCTTAAGTATTCTTAAGTCTTATATCATCTGAAATCATCTTAAATAATCTTAAACTATAGAAAACCGATTCTACAGCACACAGCAAGTTTGAATCAACAGGTAGAATTCCACATGGACGGTCTCCAAGTCGGACCTCTTGCTCATCAAACGTCTCTACCACAAATGGCGGTCATCGTACCCACCCAGGTTGCCCGTGGACCTTCGTGGACCTTCGTCGGACCTATGTCTATTCGGCTCATTTTTCAGGGGTCAACCGGGGGTGCCCGGATTCGGATCCATCCCAAATCCCAAATCAGTCTTGTCTAGCCCTGAACCCCCAAACCTCCAGGTGTTTCCACCGTGTGGTCCCTCGTCGCGGATGTCCCACCCGCCTTCCCCGAGAAAACGGTGACGTGTCCAACCGCCTTCCCCCGCGCCTCCAAGATGCGTCCCTCTGTGTACTGCTCGAAGGGGTCCAGGTTGTGGCGTAAGGTGCCCGAGAACAGAACCGGATCCTCTCACTGTCCAAGCAGTTCGGTTCAATGAATAGCTTGGGAAAACCATGATGAGGTGCCTATGTGCCCATATATGGCATCCTCTACACGTGGTTATTTGCCGCAAGAAAACCAGTTTGGGATAGTACCAGGTGGTATCCACCCTATGGTCACTATAGGAGTGTGTTCGTATAGTTCTTATCAACTTCTGGGGCCTGTATCCGGTTGGGCGACCTGACCCACTGACCTCTGCCACGGTTTCCACACACGTCCAGCACTCCGACGTCACACGTCAACCAACCTGTAGACCCTGTAGAGGAGACCTGGGCCCTTTCCAACCCTCTACCGAACAAATCACACGTGGCAGAGTTAGGGTTTATATACGCCCAAAAACCCCAAAATGCGCAGGCGTTTTGGAAGCTGGGCGTTTTTCGCCTCCACCTCCGGCCCACGCCGGCCCCTTCGGCTTGCCTGGTTGCTGGGCGTTTCGCGTGGGCCGGCCCCTTTCGGCTCGCGGAAGACACCCAGACCGGCGCGGCTCCTGTGGCACCAAACCCATGGCTTCTCGCAGGGTGGCCAGACCAACGTCACGGGTATCCACGCTATTGAGCAGCACTCGTCCCCCACGTGGCTCCAAGACACGCAGGAGCACCAGCAAGAAGCTGCTCTTGCCACATCCGGTGGTGCCAACCATACCCACCTGCAGCGCCATACCCGGGCGGTCTAATTCTCATGCTGGATACCTTTATGAAAGAAAACCGAAGACTTCATGAATCAGAGGGGAACATGCCAGAATATAGCAGAATCAGAACACCTTCACTCTATAGTTGCACCATTGCAAATAGAGCATACCAAGTCATGCCCCTCCCTCCCAAGGGCTTGCCTACATGACTTTAGTCATGCCAGCCTTGGTCCGGCGGTCGAAGGTGAGGGAGATGTTCTTCAGGACATCTCGAGGCAAATCCCCGTATCCCGCGCGGAGATTCTCAATCTTGATCTGCGCGCCATCGTACAACCAGCCACTTTGCACACCGACCAAGACCTCGAAGAAGAGGCGCGAGCAGTTGAACACGGCAAAGAATTGCTATGGTTAAAAAAACAAAACAACCTTTACATACGCAGCAGGAAGTTCCAAACTTCTAGCCACATGTTGTTCTTTTTTGTTTTAACCATAGTCAGAGTTCCATATATCACGTCTAACCCAAACATCCGAG